GAATTATCGTTCTATCATAAGTTACTGTTGGTATCATATCAGATATGATTGGTTGCTAAACGTGTAGTTTGCTTTTGCTCCACGAATATGCAAATAAATACGTTTTTGATAGTATACAATTATAGACGTATCAAAAACGTAATTTCGGTCATCACTGAACATAGAAGTATGAGTCTGTCGCTTCGCTCCAGACAATGATTAATTTCATTATAAGTAGCAACTTCTTCAGTTTCCTTAGGTACGGGATTTGGAACAAGGTATGTGTGATCTGTATAGTTATCTGGTTAAATTAACTATGTCATTAACTGATGAATCGACATCATGTACTGCCATGTTTGTAATATTACTTTAAAATCATGGAATGTACTACAATCTTGTCCAGTTCGTTGAACAACTAATGTATCAATTGTGGCGGGGTCCCTAGGTAGTCTTGTAATAAATCCTTGGATGTCTTGTGGAAAATTAATCACGTAACCCTATGTCCGAGCTGTCCGCCTTTAAGATTGAAAATAGTTAACATAGGAAGAATCTGCGCAATTAACATTTCCTCAACTTGAGGCAATCCAGTTGGTATCTCTCCTAAAATAGAAAATCGTATTTACATTAACGTTATTATTATTATATACCCGGATCCATATCATTCTTTATTGAAAACCTTTTTGGAATCAATTTGTCTCTACTACATTTAACGCAAGAATCCGGTTTATCATCCAATATACCGAAGGAAAAGATTCTTTACAAGTAGGGCAATAATTATTTTTATGATCTGCGACAGTATCTCGAATCTTTTTGAGAAGGTCACGATCATCAGTAAGTTGGCATGCGGGTGAAATTTCGTTTTCTAAAATAATTTATTAGTTTGTAGATTTAATTTAATTATTTTATTCAAATTTAATTTAAACATAGTAATTTTATTTAACCACCTTCATTTGTTTGTTCGTCTTGATTTGTGTTCTTCTTTAGATGTTAACTGACGCTTGCGACGAGCCTGTCTCTTTTCTTATTCTGTTCTTCAGTCATTAAATTTTCTTCTACCTTCATTTTTTATGCTTTTTGTTCGGGTGTATAAGTTCTTTTTTGCTTGTCCATTTTAACTAAACTAAAAATAGACCTGGTAATGTTTTCTTTTTTATTAAATATGCTTGCTTATGATACGATGACATATACAGTATAAATTCTTACTTTTGCTGATAAATTAAGTATATTGCTACGATGTATTTATCATATTTTCTAACTGATAAGTTATTATTTTATTAAATATGTTGCATACGATACAGTATGATGATATATTTATGATGAATTAATACTTTTTACCCGATAAACTATTCATTTTTATTAAAAGTTTGTTAATGTATTTTATCTTATCAAAATTTTCATCTTCACTACAATTTAACTTCTATAAAAACTAAGCGTAATACTCCATTGAAAGTCTTAGATCAATCTTTATTACTATTAAAAATCAAGTACATTATTATTGTATTTTATTAACATGAAATTTGCAAGACTAAAAAGAGAAATAATTCAAGATTTATTTATTTATTCTCCAAAGTCTTTAACGCTAATATCTATTTTTTTTAAAAAAAAAAAAAATTTAGTAAAATTAAAATAAAATATTAAACTAGTTGCTCTATTAAGGAAAATACATACCAATTCCTCCTCCAGTAGCAACCTTCCATTTCCGAAATGTTCACAAACCTTCGTTCTAATCTATTATATTAAAAAAAAAAATTTAGTAAAAGTATTAAACTAGTCAAGTACTAACTATGTTGCCTATTACTCCAAGTTCCGACTCGACACTTCCAAAAAGCCAGTAACAACACTAACACTTGCCAAAGGGCCAGTTAACTGGGTCCTACTCACTTGCCAAAGAGCCAGTAAAGGCGAACCTACTTAGACACTCTTATCAAGCCAGCACGAGGCTGCTAATAGCGAACTAGACACCCTTATCAAGCCATATATCACTAATAGTCGACTCGTCACTTTTTAGAAGCCAGTACAGACGATCTTGGATCTCGTGTAATAAGCCAAGGTTGCTCTATTAAGGAAAGTTCATACCAATTCCTCATCCAGAATCAGTTGACCCCAATAGGCATACATGCAGAAAGCAACCTTCTGTTCCCGAAATGTTCACAAACATAATACTAACCTTTTTTCGTTGTCTTCGTTGGCGTAATTAGTAATATTATCCTCAAATAAAAAAGGTTTTTTTGAAAAAGTGTTTTTAATGTTAAAAAAACCGACAACTAAATCGTGTAAACAAGATAGAAATGTAAAGAAGATAGAAACGCGAAGGTTTTTTTAAACAGTAACGGTAAAAGCGCATCAAAATAAACATCACTGATCAGGATTATCACGATATTTTCGATATCGCATAAATCACATGGACTTTAACCAATCATATTTCAACTATTTAAGTTGCTTTGACCCGGGTCAAACGGATAACGAATAAATTCTAGTAAAAAATAAGAGAAATTTTTTTGATACAAATTCCAAGAAATTCCAATATAAATATTTATATCTCAAGGCGATATACTAAATTATCAATCTTGACCATGTGACTATTGACCTGTATTATACCAATATAATGCCAGTATTATACACATAAGTATATAGGTATAATATCAATAATAGAAATGGGTTATCCAATTAAATTGCTTTATCTGCAACTCCAAAAGTTTCCTTAAGAAAATTCCGAATCATATTAAGCTGAGAATAAAATGGCGGTTATACCATGCTATACAGTATTATACTTGGTATTATACTACTATTTCTATTACACCGGTATAATCGTATCCCTAGCCATAACCAGTGTTAAAATTCGATCTTGTTTCAATATGCGGAAATGCTAAAATGCTTGATAATTTATAACTAGAAAAACGGCGACGTTTTGTAGGCTGGAGCCTTAATTCTTAGACCTTATACTTTAGACTGGAATTAAACTTAAGATATATTTGATTGCTACTGTATTACACATTATATTTTTAATAAATTCATAATATAAATAGCTATTACATATTATATTTATAATAAATTCATAAGACTAGGAACCGGAAACCGGTGTGAGTCTGGAGCGACAAATTTTTAGTAACTTTACTAAAATACACCATAAATATTAAATACTATATATTACACAACATATTAACCAATAAAATTTATAATTTATTTTTTTATTATAATATACTTTACAGAAACCTATGTTTTTTGCTAAATATGTTTACAATATATATATTAACAACACTTTTACTAAAACGCGCATTTACTAATTTCCCCCAAGTTTCGATATTTTGACCAATCAGAATGCAAGATCAGGTGTAACGCGAAGATCAAAACAACAACCGCTTTTTTCGAAAAGTCACACTTATCGCAAAATTTCACCTAAGAAATCACCTATTATGCATTAATAAAAAAATTCCTTGCAAAATTTTAGTATAATATTGCCTATAACTCTAACCCCAAACCCTAACTGAGATGCACATTTTAATCAGGAGGTGATATGTAAATCGGCACAAATAATCCCAACTAATCAAAACTTGGGGGAAATTAGTAAATGCCTAAAACGCACCTATGGTGTTTTTACACCATAGGTCCCGTTTCTCAAAAATGTACTAAGTAAACGGGATCGGGTTCTCTAAGTAAAAATGTTCA